TATTTTAATAGCACACCATCTAGTGGCCTTACTGCTGCTCTGGGCGTTTTCCAGCCATAAAATAAACATACCTGAGTCATTGTACTGATTGTATTCCAGTGTGGGTATCAAGGATTAAGACTTAATGTTGTACATCTGTACATATGATGAAGCTTTGTGTAACAGAAAATGAAGTAATGTATTTTCTGACTGGTCTCAGAACTGTACATAAGTCCTGTGTAAAATGAACGTCTTTATCTGCTGTAAGTTAGATCACTTTTTTTATGCTCTGTGTTGCTTCATGTCATGTGTAAAATGACTTATGTACATGAGTCATGTGTAAAATGAATGTCTTTATCTGCTGTAAGTCAGATCACTTTTTCCTATGCTATGTGATGCTTCATGTCATGTTATGCTGTCTATTCTCTATGTATATATGTAAACAGATAGACCAAGTTGTTGGTTTTACTCTCTCAGTGTCATAGTGTCACCCGTATCTCTGCTAACCAATATCTCCTTACTCTGCTGATGTTATGAGAATACACGTTATAATCAAAATTCTCAGCATCAAGACCTGGGAGGTGCAGGTGGCATGGAAAGTTGCTCTGAGGGAAAGGCGCTCCAAGAGGTAGCAAGGTCACAAATATCCCTGACTGATCCATTCACTCTAATACAGACTGAAAACCCAATAAATGCCAGTGTTGTCCTTTCCTAGAAGTCTGCAAATGTCAATGTATTGTTTCAACACAAGCCCCCCCCAAGATCTGACACCATCTGTGGGCTGCACGTCTGGAGGTCTAACAGGAGGGCTGATCCAGATGGCCTGGTAAAAGTTTCCACTCACTCACTGAACTTTCGGATACAACGATGACACAGGTATCCTCGCCAGCCTCGCAAGTCTGCATGGTGCCAGTACAGGTAGTGCCCACACCTGCACAGACTTCACACTCCAAGGTCGCCCCTGCAACAAAGAAGGAGCAACTCAGACATCATGCTGTGATGGCGGGTGCCATGTCTAAGGCACATGAGATGATGTTAGGAAAAAGTACACTTCTACACACACACAAGCAAATATAAACCTATGTGGTCCTTACTCAAAAATTGCATTGTTTTGTCCACTGTGGTCATCCAGCTTCTACCAATTTAAAACACAAGTACAAATAATAATATATACACAAGAAATCAACCCCAAGTGCTCCCTGGAAGGACAGATCCTGAAGCTGAGGCTCCAATACTTTGGCCATCTCATGAGAAGAGAAGACTCCCTGGAAAAGACGCTGATGTTGGGAAAGTGTGAAGGCAAGAGGAGAAGGGGATGACACAGGACAAGATGATTGGACAGTGTCACCGAAGCGACCAACATGACTTTGACCCAACTCCGGGAGGCAGTGGAAGACGGGAGGGCCTGGCGTGCTGTGGTCCATGGGGTCATGCAGAGTCAGACACAATTTAACAACTAAAAAACAACAACGACAACACAAGCATGGTGGCAGCTGAACAAACACAATGCTAGCAGATTAAAAAGTACAAATACAGATGTGTGCATTCACTAAAAAGCTGGGTTAAATAAAAAATACAGAAATATTAAAATGTACCCATCATTTCAATTTTAAAAAGCCAAATCATTTCATGTGGGTCTTCAGATGCTCACTCCTTAACTTCTGGGCAGCCAATGTGAAGCTCGCCACTCTATCTGTTATTGCCTTGTTAACATCCAATAACAGATAGATTACTTTATTTAGGTCACTTTTATCCAGTATATCCTGTCACAAAATTAATATAAACATTGTCCTAAGTTCAGTATATAAGAAGCAGTGGAGTAAATAATGTTACAGAAAAGCAAAGGCAGATTTATTACACCACTAAAAATATTCCTGGAAAAAAAAACTTTTACTAGCTTTCAACATAGACCATTCTAAATATCTATCTTCCATTCTTAGTTACATGTAGAACTGCCCCGTATATATAAGTATATATAACTATAACTATAACTATAATTATAACGAGAGAGAGAGAGAGAGAGTTAAATATAGAGTTATATATAGAGAGAGTTTATATATATAAAACTCTATATAACTATATACAACTCTCTCTCCCTCCCTCTCTCTCTCTCTGTCTCTCTCTCATTATAGTTAGTTATAGTTATAGCTATAGTTATATGTAGTTATATATATGGGGCAGTTCATCCTCTCTCTCTCTCTCATTATAGTTAGGTATAGTTATAGTTATAGTTATAGTTATAGTTATAGGTATAGGTATAGGTATATATAGTTATATATATATGGGGCAGTTCATCCAACCAATATATATAAAATTGATGGTTGTTGCGGGTTTTTCAGGCTCTTTGGCCGTGTCCTGAAGGTTGTTCTTCCTGACTTTTTCCAGTCTCTGCAGCCGGCATCTTCAGAGGACTGGAGTGGGAACTCTGTCCATGCTCTGTTGCTGTTTGTTGGATAGTTGAATATTTATGGCTATAAACAGCAACAGAGCATGGACCGAGTTCCTACTCCTGTCCTCTGAAGATGCCGGCCAAAGAAACTGGTGAAACGTCAGGAAGAACAACCTTCAGAACACAGCCAAAGAGCCCGAAAAACCCACAACAACCATCAGATCCCGGCCATGAAAGCCTTCGAGAATACATATATAAAACTCTTGAGATGGTGAGAATTGTCAGTTTACACAAAAGCAACCTCCTTCTCCTCCTTTTTGCAGAACGATGCAAAAATGTTCAGTTGCAGGAATTGGATGAACTGCCCCAGATGAAGACAGCTGCTGTTCTGTTTAAGAATTGGAAGCCCTGCTTGGGATGTTTGCATTTTTCTTAATCATTAGGAGTCATCTTTCATAAGCTACCATGACTTTGAGGTGCGTTTACAAATTCTGTTGGGTGTAAATGTACAAATCCTGGCAGGGACTGAAAAGTTAGCTTTATAACCGAGCTTAGAAGAGTCACAGTAAGAAGAAAAGAAACCTGAAATTAATCTAATTTGTTTCACCAATTATTAGTGATTTGCTACACAAACCAAAATATACAAGCAAAACAAGCAAGCAAAGATCGGATCGTCCTAGAAGTTGTAATGTTTTCCTGGGAGAGGACAAACCTATCCTTACCTGTAGTAACAAGCACAAAGCAGAGGGAGAGTCCCAAAAGAGTCTGCATGATGTCTCAGGTGCCGTCAACAAATCTGGAACTGAAGTATACCTATGGAACAATGGTAAATGAGAAATCAAGACATTTTACAAGTGGTTAGCAGATAGATGTACTTTCCAGTTACCAGGAAACACACCAGCAAATACTCTTCTGTTTAAGCAACTGAAAGAACTTGGTAGACATTTTAGTGATCAGAATTAGAGTAAATCTAGCATTCAAGAGGTTGAAGATGTGTCCCACTCCAAAACATCTGAAAATCACTGCTTTAATGACTGTCACCAATGCGGTTTAAGGGAGTGTAGACCCTTGATTGGTTTCAGGGAGGGTTGACCCTGCCATAGCAAATCAGAGAGAAGATTCAGATCTTTGCTTACAAGCCTTCAGTTCCTTCCTATGGGTGGGAAAAAAGAGATGAAGATAATTTTTCCATCCTGTTAAGTCTGGATCAAAAGATGACCATGTTCTTTTGATTGCTTTCCTCATCCCCTCCTTGGACAACATTAATAATTCTGCGTTAATCGAAGCAGAATATTGAGACACGCTTCCTGTAGTCTCCTTTCTGAAATTTAAGGATCTGTTCTAACCAGAGGCAGGAGGAACATGTAGAAAGTATAACCTTTCTTCTACAGTACGATGCATGTGGAAGACTCAAGAATAATGGAAGACTCACCAGGAATGGCTGGGTACAGCAGGACCAGTATTTGGGAAGTGTCACCCCTGTTTCTTTGATTTAATCATTCCCTCCTTCCCCTTTTATAAGGAAAATAACTGAGCACATGTTTCAGAAGTTCCTCCCTTGCCCCGCCTCCTTCAGAACAGTGTTCTGAATCCAGTTCTTTTGGTGTCTGCACTGGAGCATTTTTTGATGTAATTGTTTCCCTATCTTAAAAACTTTCAGAAGTGATTCATGAGTTTTAATCCAAATTTTAGACTTCAGCTTGGGAGGGCTGATATCAAGACTGCAGTCTTACTTGGAAGAAGTAAGTAGGAAGTCTATAACCCTGGGAACATTAGGATGATAAACATGCACCAGGAAAAAGGTGCTGCTATATTTAAAACTGTATCCGTATCATCATCATCATCATCATCATCATCATCATCATCATCATCATCATCATCACCATCATCATCATCATCATCATCATGTGTCGCCAAGTCAGTTTTGACTTATGATGAAACTTTTCAGGATTTTCTAAATAGAGATGACTCTATTTCTAAATAGAGGTGGTTTACCATTGATTGATTGATTGATTGATTGATTTGTACCACACATTTCCCCTTGAAAAGGACCCAGAATGAAACAGTGAATATACAAAGGTAGTGTTCATCGTTAAAAGGCAATACCGTATTTCAAGCTAAAAACACGAAGTATAGAAATATCAAAAAGGAACAAATGAAATACCATCCCCTACTTCTGGGCACACCTTGGGACTGTTCAGCTTGCCCAAAGCCACACAGGCTGGCTTTTCTGGGAGGCACAGTGGAGAATTGAACTCTCAACCTCTGGATCTGCAGCCAGGTGCCTAACACATTGAGCTATCTAGCCAGCTGCATCAATATATACATTGTCTATATACATGGAGTCAGAGAAGTAAACTCTACTGCATTTAGTGGAAACCAGGCCCTTGCAAGAATTCAACATGATGCTTGCCTACTATACAGTGATCAGAATTTTGTTGTTTAGTTATTCTTGCAAAAGGCAACAGGATGAATTACACTGGTGATTGTTGCTGGTTAAAAAAACTTGCATTCCTCGTTGGGTGCTGATTGTGTGAATAGGTGAATGATGAGAGAAACTATCCGTAACACATTAACTAACAGCAATTTACCACTGCAATTATGCCATGGAATTTACGGTAGTGTAACTAACCATTTGACATCCATAACACATTAACTAACAGCAATTTACCACTGCAATTATGCCATGGAAATTTACAGTAGTGTAACTAACCATTTGACTGGGGCTAATACATTTCACTCCCTGGAAAAGACCTTGATGTTGGGAAAGTGTGAAGGCAAGAGGAGAAGGGGACGACAGAGGATGAGATGGTTGGACAGTGTCATCGAAGTTACCAACATGAATTTGACCTACCTCCAGAAGGCAGTGGAAGACAGGAGGGCCTGGCGTGCTCTGGTTCATGGGGTCACTAAGAGTCGGACACGACTAAACAACAACAATACATTTCGCAGAAATTGATGGGTCTCACATCTAGGTAAATGTGTACAGGGAGACTTGTGTGGTGGATAGAGTAACTGACCAGGACTCGGAAGACCAGCGTTTGAAGCCCTGCTTGATCATGGAAAAACACTGAGGCAGTGAAACTGATAAAACCACTCCTTAAATATCTCACTTACCTTGAAAGCTCTATTAGGGGTCGCTATAAGTCAGTTCCAACTTGACAACATGTAACAACAACAAATGTGTACAGAGCGGATAGAAAGTCTGACCTGGGTTCAGATCCTGACTTGTCCATAGGAACTCATTGGGGGTGATGGTGGCAATAGTAAACCAGTGCCTGAACATCTTGTGTACAGTGGTGCCTCGCTAGATGATGATAATCCCTTCCACTGAAATACAGTAGCTGTTTAGTGAAATCATTCCTATTGGAATGCATTGAAACCTGTTTAATGCGTTCCAATGGGGAAGAATCATCATTGTCTAGCGAAGATCGGACATAGGAAAGCCGCTTTGCGAACTGCCGATCAGCTGTTTAAATCGCTGTCTTGCGAAGCTTAGGTCTCGAAAACACCCGTATTGCGAGCGCGGAGGGAGCTGTCAAAATCATTGTCTAGCAAAAATTGGTTTGCTAAGCAGGGACCAAACATTGTCCAGCGAAATTCCCCCATAGGAATCACTGTTTTGCCATGTGTTTAACTTTAAAAAATACACTTGGAGTAAGTGCAAGGGAGAGATGGTGGCAAACACTCATATTGTGTTATGGAAGATAGCTTGCATCACCTAGCATGGTGATGGTGGTATCTTGATTGACTGAAGTCTACTATTAATTTCAGATTGCTCATGAATACTTCAAAAGGCTACAAAGTGATGTTCACATGTCCTAGTGCAGGAGACTGGGACCACTAAGGGACTGTAGGAGTTACTGACTGGGGAAGGCCATGTATATGCTCAAATACAAAGATCATCTCATAACATAGTTTTACTGGATCAAGATCTGTTGGAAGCAGATCTTAATCCAGCATCTTCTCTGAGCCAGAAAAAAATTGATGGTTTGGGCCATGAGTTTTCTCTATACCCCTGCTTCCTAGCCTACATAATCTAATGGACTCATTTCGGTCCATTGAGTTGCATTAGTGGAAACTCCACTGGCAAAGTTAGAAGGGGTAATTCCCTAACAGAGGAGAAATTGGAAGATAACCTGACAAGGATCAGGTAAGAATAGGCTCCTCTCCACCATCTTCCAATTCCACCACTGTAAAATACGACCGTCACCACAACACAAACTAGTAATACAAGTTTTGTGCCTTGGAAGGTATGAAGGGGTTGGTCCCCAGTAGGAGCAGGTCGCACTCCTGCATCCTTGCCATTTTGCCCTTACATGTTTTCTCCATACTAGCTTTGCCAGAAACAATAAATTGTTCAACAATGCACTACCCAAAAGAACTAAATATCTGGGGAAGGTTGTAAAAATCATGACTGTTACCCAAGGTCTTTGTTCTTGTCTATCCAGTCTCCCTGTGACACAAACTGAAATTTCTAAGAATTCATTTCCTCCTCCTCCTTTTTTTTCATTCTAATCCTCTTACAATTGTCTCCTTACCAAGTAGTAGGTTAGTAACTTTATTACTCAGAGTACCTATAATAAAGGCCTGATTTATTTTGTTTAACTATAAGCTTGTTTCTTTACTCCTTAGTTGGCTATTTACTTTGATACTGAGAAGGGGACAGAAACTGCTGCAGCACTGGAGGATAGTGGACGTAGCTTATAGGATGCACCCCTGGAGTGGGGGTAATTTCATTCTTCCACACAAGGATGGGGAACAGCAAAATTATTAACTTTCCCCTGTGGGAAGAGCTTTCAACCAGAGAAAGAGAAAAATAAGAAATTATTTTGAGAGAGGATAAACTGAGGAGCATCCTCCATATAATGCTTTTGTGCAAAAAGCATGAATTGTACAAAATGGCTGATGCATGAGCATTTCAGGATTAAAAGCACAGGATGAGGCGTCCCTTTTTGGTTATAAGCACCCCATCCTTTTCAAGCAGTCTTTTGCAAAATTATTAACTTTCCCCTGTGGGAAGGTGAAGCATTTGGAGAGCTTTCAACCAGAGAAAAAGGAAAATAAGAAATTGTTTTGAGAGAGGATAAATTGAGGAGCATCCTCCATATAACGCTTTTGTGCAAAGAGCATGAATTATACAAAATGGCTGAGGCAGACATTTTGTGTTCATTACAGGGACTTTGACAAGGGTGGCAGGAAGAGTGCTTTTTGTCTTGCTGGAGGTAAGAAATCTTAACAATTCCTCATCAAGATGTGCATGCAATATATGCCACACCACATATACAAAAGAAGATCTAGCAAACTTCTGAGATGGCACTATTGAAGAAGCCCTCTTCTAGTCCAAAATTCATTACAGGGACTTTGACAAGGGTGGCGGGAAGAGTGCTTTTTTGTCTTGCTGGAGGTAAGAAACCTTAACAACTCCTCATCAAGATGTGCATGCAATATATGTACAAAAGAAGATTTAGCAAACCGCTGAGATGGCACTATTGAAGAAACCCTTTTCTAGTCCAACACAGTTTCATGATATGAACATTTAAATGTATTTTTCATTTTACCTATCATAGAAATCATATCATAGAAAAGTGAAGTTGGAAGCGGCCTACAAGGCCATCAAGTCCAACCCCTGGCTCAATTCAGGAATACAATCAAAGCATATCTCCCAGGTGATAATGCCTCCAGTGTTGGAGCACTCACCAAGTACTGAGGTCAATGGTTCCACTGTCGTACTGCTCTAACAGTTAGGAAGTTTTTCCTGATATTCAACCGACATCTGGCTTCCTTTAATGTGAGCCCATTGTTGAGTGTCCTGCACTCTGGGATGATTGAGATTTCATATATATCCATAATTTTAAATTGTGCAACACTCTGATACAAATAAAGAAAGAATCATATTGGTAAAGCCTACAACCTATAAGACCAAAGAATTTAGTGAGTGTTATTTTTCTGCATGACTCCCTGAAACATATCGTCTTGTCCACCAACAGAGGAAAACAGCTGAGGTTGAGGATATGCCATCGATTTTTTCCACAGCAAGCAGCATCTGCCACTTGAGATAAGCTGCTTACTCTCAGGGGAAGTCCAAATCTGGCTGGTCTTCCTTTCTACGTTTCATGTATTTTTCCTCTTCAAAATCATGGACACAGATGTTCTCAACATCTGGTGATTGATACAGAAAAAAATGAGATAGAGAGGAAGAAAGCTATTTAGAAAAAGAACAAATCTTCTCTTTTTCTTCAAGGACTTCATGTCCTTACTCAACTCCGGATGATGTTTGCTAAAAATAATAGGAAGTTGAATTTCATAATGACATTTCTTCATTATATTTCCTTATGTAACCGTGAAGTGCTCACCCCAGTCATAAGGTGAATTAAGGTGAATTAATAGCTATAATCTATTTTACTGAGCAAGGAAGCCCAATTTTTCTGGGATCCTTGTATTTTCTCATTTCTTCATAGATCCTGTCAGAGTCTGGAAGTAACTGGTTATGAAAAACAAGTT